GTCTAAAAGAGAAAGAGCATCATTAAAAGATCCGCCCCAGATGTGGCAATAGTATTCCATACAGGGACGGATTTGAGATTTATAGAGATAGAGAATAGAATCTGGAGTAAGAAAGTGTCGAGCTCGATAAAGAGATGCAACCTTAGCAGATGCTAATTTTGCAATGGATTTGATATACGGTTTAAAAGAAAGATCCGAAGTAAGAGTTAATCCTAGAAGATGAATGGTAGATGACTCATCTAGTACATTACCATTCATAAATATAGGAAGATCTAAATTATTACGATAACGATTGGCCGAATAAAATTGAGTTTTATCTGAATTAAAGTTCACCAGCCACTTTGAGCCCCATGCTGTAGCAGAAGTGAGATCCTTTTCAAGCACAGATACCCCCTCCAGGCAATCAGAGAGTGTAGGCTTCTTATCATGACAAGAGTAAATGGTAGTGTCGTCAGCGAATAATGCCACCTTAGATGTGAGAATATCTGGAAGATCGTTAATGTAAATTAAAAAGAGTATAGGGCCAAGGATTGAACCTTGAGGAACCCCTGAAGTTACAGGATGTGAAGAAGAGTGTTGTCCATTGAGGACAACTTTTATACTATGATTGGAAAGAAAGGACTCAATAATCTTAAAGACGTTACCAGCTACACCATAAGAAGAAAGCTTATGGAGAAGACCAGCATGCCAAACTTTATCAAAAGCTTTAGAAATGTCAAGTGCGATAGCCTTAACCTCTCCACCTCTATCTAATGCACGGTAAAACCTATCGGTTATTACTGTTAGCAAATCAGCTGTAGAACGAGAAGATCGAAATCCATATTGATGATCAGAAAGTAAGTTATTTGATTCAAGATGACAGATTAAGTGTTAATTAAAGATTCAAAAACCTTGCTTATGACAGGAAGAAGACTAATGGGACGGTAGTTAGATGAATCAGATCGCTCTCCGGAATTTTTGAAAATAGGGATAACAGATGCTGCTTTCCAGCATGATGGAAAACAAGACTCTGATAAGCACTTATAAATAGTTTTGAAAGTATGGATGAAAGCTCCGGAGAACACTTCTGCAAGACTACAACAGGAATGTTGTCAGGACCACAAGCTGTTGAAGAGTCTAAGCAGGAAATTACTTTTGATACAGAAGCTGAAGTGATGCAAATGTCAAGCAAGGGAGCAACCTGTTTGACGCCTATGTCAGGTAGAACGCAACTAGTGGAATCAAGAGATGATATTGATGAAAAGTTCTTAGCAAACAATTCAGCTTTGTCTTTAGGTGAGGTGACAAAGTCTGAACCATACAAGAGAGAAGGAATAACAGATTTGCCCTTATTATTGATACTGTTAAAGATTCTCCAGAAGTCTCGAGAGCCTAATTTTTGTGATGAGATACGAGATGACCTGAGAATAGCGAGCTTTGGCGTCAGACAAAACCTTTTTACAATGGTTTCTGGCAATAGTGAACAAATGTCTGTTTTCTGGAGAATTGTTTAGCTGATAGATATGAAAGTAATGGTTTCGATTAGAAATTGCTGCAGCGCAATGTGAGGAAAATGTGAGGATGTTTGAGTTTTGACGCTTACAGGCATTGTGCCAACTCTAAACTTTTCTATGTTCATGCTTATGTCAAATGAGAATGTTTTGCAAAGAGTTGTGGTAATTAGAGCTTGGGGACTAAAAACTCCAGTTTTTGGGCCCACCCAGCTTTTAATATGAGAGCAACAAGTTTATAAAATAATTTCTCCTCATGATATTGAAAGGTATATAATAATAGCAATATATCTTCCATATTATAGAGATATTCATCAACTTTTGGTCAGTCACCAGAATGGCAACTGAAACTAACCAGTTTGTTAATTTTGGTCGCCTTCCGACGTTTTAAGTCGCCTGTTGCCATTTTTTTTTCAAAATTTCCTCGAATGTTTTAGTCATTTTTTGTTATATGGCTAAATGTACACTAGAAACAATATGCGCAAATAAAAGTAATATTGAAAACTATTAATAAAATTCACTTTTCTACTTTCAAAAAAAAAACACATGTCATTATATTTTTAAACTTTATTTGAGCGCTCATTTTATCAAAAAATAGGCGTTCGATTACAACAAAAAACTGTTGACAATTCTAAGTTCTATTAGCCTTTGACAAAAGTCAAAGGCTAATAGAACTTAGCCTTTGACTTCTGTGTTGCGCTGTAGTCACTTTCCAAGCTGATAGTGGTATAGCTATGAATATGCGCTTTTAGACCATTGAGTAGATTTATTTTTTGAGAACGCATTTACCATATGCGCAACCCATCTGGTACCATTAACTCCTATGACACTGCATTTGGCCTAAAAATTAAAATACTAAATTAAATAAATATAAAATTGCCTAAATTAATTAATATAAATTTTGATTGTTAATACTACGTAAAAATAATAAGTAAAAATACGTTAAGATATTATCAATATAACAAGACTTAATTCTTAAAATACCTTTTACACCATAAACTTTGCATGCGTTACAATAAACCGCTGATATAACAGTAGAATTTCAATGAAAAATGAAGAGTTGCTCACAAAATAGCTGCAGAATTTGAAGTTCCTTTGAAGTGCTGGCTGCATCTTTCAGTGCCAGCTGCAATCGGTGCGACAAACAATGTGTGTAAGTGAGAAAATTGTTGCACCTACTAGCTGTTGCTGAACACTATGTTTCCGTCCAGTTAAAACATTAGTGCCATCCATAATTAAACCTACCATTAGAGGCACTATATTTTTTGCATGTACTATTAGTTCATTATTATAGTTGACTGGCTCTTCTTCACTAAACCTTCAAAATTGCATTCATCGTCATTGTTGTCACTATCGCTAAATAGTTGAGATATTTCATCTTCTATATGTACTAATTCCTTCGTCTTCTAGATTCAACTTAATAATCAACTTAATTGTAAACAAAATGATTGGAACTGAAATAAATATCTACTCTATTTAAACCGATTTTAGAGATAGTTTAAAATAATATACGTTTGATGGTTAAATAAATAGTTTTTAAATAATTGGAGACTGTCTGGTCTCACAATAATTGCAGGATTGGAATTTATTTGTAATTTATTTAAATGTAATTTTTATGGCGTAAATTGAACTAAATTTCTAATGATCAGTAGTAACTAGTTTTTAAAAGTACTTACTGTAGTAACTAGTTTTTAAAGTACTAATTAAAATGCTTTTCCAGACGCAATCCAGAGTCATTAGTCATTTCTTTAAATTTTTTTTTTTTTTTTTAGTATATGTAGAATTTCGACAAATTGGACAAATTTACTTCTATTACTTATCTTTTAAATTATTACATATCTCTAAAACTTAATTAAATAATAAAAAAGAATGTTTAAAAGATAAAATCTTTTTGTTTTTATTTTACTTGTATTTTCTAATTAACAATAGAAAATGCGGTAAACAAACTTTAGCATTATGACTTTTAAAATAGAGTTTTATTATTTTAGTTACTTATTGAATTAGTTATTTTTCATATTTTAAATCTCTTAAATTACACACACAAAAAAAAAGAACTGCCGATAAAAATCAATAGTCGCTCTTTCGGGCGACTTGATTTCATAAAAAAAATATTTTGAGCCGCCCTTCACAAAATTCGGTTGCCTGGTGCCATCGGGCGACCACGAGTGTGCATCCCTGATATATATATATATATATATATATATATATATATATATATATATATATATATATATATATATATATATATACACACACATATATATATATATATATATATATATAAATATATATATATATATATATATATATATATATATATATATATATATATATATATATATATATATATATATCAGGCTTGGCCAGGAATGGTACACAGTAACTGACCACACATAATTTTTCTCTTTATATTTTGACCACAACGGTTTTGATTTTTTAACAATTCAAATGCTATAAAAATTGTTACGTTATGAATAATTTTTAATTGTTGATCTTTTCTAAAATTTTTATTTGATGCAAAGATTTTAAATTAAATCAAAAATTAATTATAGCGGTTGTTTAAAATAAACGCATTTTGTGCAAATTAACAAATAATGTTATATTTAATTTTTTTTATGTACCCATGTATTTTTATGATATGTTTGTAACTATTTTCTATGTCTTTCAAAAAACCTTTTGAAAGATGATTTTTTTAAGTTACTTTAAATTATGAATTGGTTAAATAAAATCTTCCTTTGCAATGAAATGATTTAATTGCTTTATTTTTTTATTTCTATTTTTCACAAAGAATGTTTTAAAACTTTTTTTTTTTATCTTGACTAATCAAAGCATGAAACAAATAAAAATTACTATTTTAAAGAGACTGTGGTATTTTTTAACTTTTTTTTCCCTTGCAACATTTTGGAAAAAATAAATGCTTAAACAATTTAAAAATAATATATCTACAACACTTTTTAATAATTTAAATAAAATGTGTTCATTCATTGAAAAATCATTAGAAGTAATTTGTGAAAGCGTTTTGCGTAACTTTAATAAAATGTTTTAAAAGATATTTTAAACCCAATTAAAAATGCAAAAAATAGTAATTTTCACTTTTTTGAGTTTTTTTTAGAGCTTATATATTTATTCATTATTTTTTTAATTTTTCTTCCTAGGTTAAATTTAGTTAGCATTTATTTTTTCAGCCCATTACTAAAATGTTTAAAATCATTTAAACACCTAAACAGTCGTGGTAAGTTGTCAAAAAATAAAATCATTTGGGGAGTCAGCAATAGCACTTAATTACTCGCCTGTCCAAGCCTGATATATATAAATTTGACATAATAGTTATCCTTTATGGTAGGTCTGCTTCCCCATGTTAATACTCCCTACTAAACCCAAATCCTCAGTAAATGTAATGAAACTGTAACTTATCTTTATTTTAGTTTAATATTATCAGTGATATTTCATGTACACCTTACTCATATGGGTATCAATATAATAATTAACATGTTTTTTTTTTTTTTGTAGAATACCAAATTAGTCTGCTCGATAAACAACTTATTTCATGTAATTCTAAGTTATCAAAATATGAACAAAATTTATTGGAAACCAAAATTAAACTTGAAAAGACTGAAGAAGCTTTATCAGAGTGTGATAATAAATTTACTGATGCAGTAAAAGAGAAGAGTAATTTAGTTTCAGAAATTGTGAGATTATTTTTTTTGAAATAAATTTCTTTTATAACAGAATAACATATCTGATGTCTTCAAACAAATTATTCTGTTATATAATATAATTTACAAAGTCAAAAAGTAAATAAATAAAATAGAATTTATTTTGTCATTAACTCTTTTTATGTGTGCAAAAAGTATTTTAAATATTTTTGTTTTGTTTTTTAATTTGAAACAGTTTACTATGAACGCAACAATTTATGATCATATGTTTCCATTATTGTAATTTATCTTGAATTAAAATATGCAAATTCAGGAATGAATATATATATATATATATATATATATATATATATATATATATATATATATATGTATATATATATATATATATATATATATATATATATATATATATATATATATATATATCAACCCTCGGAATTAGGATTGGCATTTGGCAATGTCAACCTAACTGCAGACCTCAAAGTGTTTGTTTCTATGTTTTATATATATATATATATATATATATTTATATATATATATATATATATATATATATATATATATATATATATATATATATATATATATATATATATATATATATATATATATATATATATATATATATATATATATATATATATATATATATATATATATATATATATATATATATATATATATATATATATATATATATATATAAAACCCATCTTAAAAAAACTCAATAAAACCCAAAATATATTTAAAATGTCTTATTTTACAACTGATAACTCTGATTTTAACACTTATCAATGTTCTATTATCAGCAAGTGCAACTTTTATGCTGTAATTACTCTTGTAAACACTGTATTTATATACAAAATGGTATTTAGAATATATCCCAAACCAATCAATCTGTTTTTGTAGCATGTTGGTTATTTATAATTTTTTAAAACATATAGCAAGATATTATAAATATTAATGAAATATGTATTAAAATATTAAATTAGTTAAATACTTATTAAGGAAATAAAAATTATTCTATTAACTAAATTTCAAAATACAAGACATTACTAGTTTATTTAGTTGTTTATATTTCCAAACAAGCGTTCTATAGATGTCATTTTATATTGGTATTTGATCTTTTATTTTTTAAAGCTTGTTGTAAACTGTAAATTTCAGTACAAAGCCACAAGCAAAATACTATATATAAAAATTGTTAAACTTTATTCACAGTCTAGAAATGAAAAGTTGTCAGTTTACTAGACTTGTCCTTATTAAGTGCATACAACTTTAAAACATAAAAAAAATTATGTTATGTGCAAGCAAGTTTCATTCAATGAGAGAACATGTTTAAAACATGTATACAGTTTACAAGGACAAGATTTGTTGGTAAAAATGATACTCATACTCATCTGTCTATTTTACAGGTTTTGAATATTTTGCATCAGCTACAAGTTTACATTATGTACCGTCAACAAGGGTCACTATGAACAGCAGGTTGAAAATAAACATCAGTACCAAGTTTGCTTAAAAGTTAAGAAACACATGCAATAGAGCTATATATTGTGTTTGATTCAGTTGCAAAACTGAGCTGGTAAAACATCTTCAAGTTAAAAAAAAAATCTGGTGGTGAAGACGCTGTAATGGTTATTAACATATTCATTTTAGATATTTCAAAAACAATCAAAGCTTAGGCACAAATCCATTTGCAAAACAAATCTAAAAAATAAAAACATTATGATGTGTCATCCCGAATTGGCTATTCATTACTCTCTTAAACATTTGGATATAATTGCTAAATTATTTTATATAATTTTGTATAAAGAAATATTTAAATATTTGTTACATTATTTAAGTTCTAAATATCCATGTTAGATTAGCTGAACTTCCTGTTTCTGATCATTCTTATAAAGATTGTCAATTGATGATGGAAGCCCAAAAACTTGGTTTACCGATGAAAGCTAATCTTACCATTTTAAAAATATTAATATGATCTTATAAAGTAAGATAATTAAGATAATTACTGCATAATGTTGATCAGGCTGATAACTTTTCCAGAAAGCTGGACAGTATAATATTCTGTTAAAAAAAAGTAGTGATTAGGCTAACAGTTTTCTTCTATGATGCAAAAATGTTTAAAAAGTGTTTATAGTCACCTGATTGACAATAGTTTACAAGTTTGCAACATCATGTTGCAAACTTGTTGATTACATGTTGTAAACTTAGTTTTTGAAATGATATGTTGAGCATGCTAGTATAAAAAACTAGTTTGCAACATTTATATTGTCTTACTAACTTTGAATAACTCTATTGTCATAAATTTTATAGTGATTTTTTTTTGGTCAAAAATAATCTGAACATGTTTT